GAGATGTGGAGATAACTTTCCCTGCAGCAGCCCATACAGTGCGGTGCTCTGCACATGTAGCTAGAACAGCACTGGTATCACAGCAGTGTTGTGTCTGCTGCTGAACACTACTGGCACCGCATCAGGACTCCCTCCAAGCCCCCAAGAGCCAGCAGGCTGGGAGTGGGCAAGAGGTGGGGAGGGGGCAGCTGACCTAAACCAACCAAAGGGATATTCCATGCCATATGGTGTCACACACTCAGCAATAAAAAGTGGGAAAAGGGAAGGAGAGAGGGGGCTCTCGTTATGAAGACATCTGTCCTCCCAGACAACTGCTACACGTATTGAGGCCCTGCTTCCTAGGACATGGCCGAACATCACTCATTGATGGGAAGTAGAGAATAATTTATCTCTCTGTACTTCTGTGCAGCCTTTGCTTGTGTTCTTTTTTGTTTGTTTGTTTTTCCCCTCTTCCTTTAATTAAATTATCCTTATATCAGCATACGAGCTTTTTTTTTCTTTCCAGCATACTTTCATCTCCGCCTCTTCTGAGGAGGAGGTAGGATAAGGGTGGTTGTGGTGGAGCTCAGCTGCCCAGCAAGGTAAAACCACCACAGTCTTCCACCACAGTCTTTTTTGGCACCCAATGTGGGGCTTGAAGAATCTGAGATAAGGATGATAGTTCAGAGAACTAATGGGCAAAACATGGACTGGATGTTGTTGTTGAACGTAATAGTTGTGAAGAATTTCAGAAAGTAATACTTATGAAGAATGTGTTGTAGTAATGTGGTGAATGGACAAGGGGTAGAGTTAGTGTAAATTGTCAAATTTGTGATGGTAGTATGTCTCATGGTGTGGGGAATTTTTTCTTTTTGATGCAAATGAACTTTGTGAAGACTATGATGATTATGATTATTCTTAAATACACTTTTCACAGAGGCGAGCTGTGGGTTTACGTGGCAAGGTTTTGGTAGTGGGGTGGCTGCAGGGGTGGCCTCTGTGAAGTTGCCCTGTATTAGATAACGGCCAGTTTCAGCTGGCTCTAAAGGGACCCACTGCTGGCCAGAGCCAAGCCAATAGGCAATGCTGGTTGTGCCTCTATGAGAGCAGATTTAAGAAACAGGGAAAAAAAAAAAACTGCTGCACAACAGCAGCACAACAGAGAACCAGCCCTGCAGACCCCAAGGTCAGTGCAGCAGGAGGGCAGGAGGTGCTCCAGGCACACAGCAGCAGTTCCCCTGTGGCCTGTGGAGAGGCCCCTGGTGGAGCAGGCTGTCCCCCTGCAGCCCATGGGTCCCACATGGAGCAGATCTCCATGCTGCAGCCCGTGGAGGAGCCCCCAGTGGAGCAGGTGGATGTGGCCTGGAGGAGGCTGCGGCCCATGGAGAGCCCCCGCAGGAGCAGGCCCTGGGCCGGAGCTGCAGCCCGTGGAGAGGAGCCCACGCAGGAGCAGGGAGTCTGGGGGGAGCTGCTGCCCGCGGGGGACCCGTGCTGGAGCAGTTTGCTCCTGGGGGATGGACCGTGTGGTATGGAGCCGTGTGGGAGCAGTGCTTGAAGAGCTGCTGCCTGTGGGCAGTCCCCGCAGGCTGTTTGGGAAGGACGGCATCCATGGGAGGGACCCCACGTGGAGCAGGGGCAGAAAGTGACCATGAAGGAGCGGTGGAGACAAAGCATTAGGGACTGACCACAGCCCCTGTTCCCCTGCACTGCCTGGAGGGAGGAGGTGGAAGAGGATGGATGAGAGGAAAATGCTTTTAGTTTGTTTGTTTGTTCTTGTTTCTCACTGCTCTATCTTGTTAGTAATGGGTAATAAATGTCTTTAATCTCCCTATGTTGAGTCTGTTACAATACTTGTTGTGTGATCTCCCCATCCTTGTCTCAACTGTCAAGCCCTTTTTGTGTCTTTTCTCCCCCTTCCCTGTGAGGAGGGGGAATGAGAGAGCGGTTATGGTGGAGCTCAGCTACCCAGCTGAGTAAAACCACCACACTCCCTCACAACGATCTGAATCACTTCTACCCAATTTTACTGTTCTGAAGGGAAGATACAGGAAAAGACAGCAGCAAGAAGAGAAAAGCAAAAGTTTGATGCAAGGCAAAGAAAACCAAAGGTCTCACAATACAGGACAAAATAAAAACCCTTTCCCAGTTCCAGCTCCAATGTGTTTCTTCATCTAACACTAAGAATAACATTCCTCTTTGATTTCCAAGGCTTTCATCCTGACCTCTCAGTGTCTCCCCTTCGTTTTCTGCAGTTCTGATGTTCATAAAATGTCAATTTAATCTTCACCATGCCCTGTCCCCTCTGCCAAGGCTGCTGTTCCGAACTCTTTCTACAATCAGGAAGGCCACCTTGCATAAGCTTGCTGTAAGGATATGAACAAGGAGTGTTTGTATCTAGTCAAGGAGCTTTTCCAATGCAACAAGGGATAGTAAGAAAGGGAGGCAGTGATAGGAATCAAGTCTGGTGAGTCACATTAACTTAGAGCAGGTGAGAATGTAGGAATGTTTATTCCAGCAGGGTTATCTGATTGAGGACTTCTAAGCTGGTAGACAGTCACAAGAAACAAACTTCTCAGTCTATTTGGTGGGCTAACAAGCTACAGGCACCACTTGCAGGAAGGATGAACATTGTAGCTGGTAAGAACCACAGGGCCCCAGACTGGAATGATGCAGGAAACTGCAGAGCTCTGCAAAGGCATAAGGGACGTAGAAGGAGAAGGGCAAACAGGTAGAACAAAAGGGGAATACATAGGAAAGAGAATAAAAGGGCTGGCTGGCTGCACGTGAAACAGGGCCAGTCACACTTGTCTGGCCAAGCCCTGAAACTGAATAGAGCAGTCTGTCCTATTTCCTCATCATTAAATCTTTTCTTAACTCTCTGTATTCACACTATTTTTCCTGTGTGTGTGCTGCAAGGCAGGCCTGGGATATTGGGTGTACAGAGGGGCCAAGCTGGTACTCAAAGGATCAATGAGCGTATGTGTTTGAGAACCTTGACAGTGCTGCATGCGTGCCTGTACTAGTAAACTCCCTTCACTACCAGGCAGAGAGGAGGAAGGGATCTTGGCTGCCTACATCTGTTTTACGTGAGTCTCACTGAAGGCAACCCTTGGCTTGTCAACATCCCATCTCTGTGTGTGCCTCAGATACAAGCTCAGCTTTACTGCAGGTTGAACCTGAAACATGGAAAGCTGCAGCTATACTCCAACCCAGCAGGGCAGAGATCTCAGGCCCACAGGTGACAGGCTGGGCAGCAGGTGACAGGAGAAGCAGTCCTGGGCCAGAGCAGCTGGAGGAGGCAGCCGCTGCCTTTGCTCTTTACCTCACTTAACGTTTGCCTTTTAGTAAAACCATATCTCATGGTTAGGACACTTTACTCTAGCTTATTGTGACACTGGAGAAAAAACCTCACAGACACTCACTCCCTCAGGCCTGCACCTCAACTACACAGTTTGAGTGGGCAGAGCAAGGAAGCACAGAACTGCATCCTCATGCTACATGGTGTTAGGATTGAAGGATAAGAGCTGTAATTTGCACTTGTGCGTAACTCTTGAGAGTGATAAATGAAAAATCACAAATTTATGCAATAAATAAAGCTGTTCATCCCCATGAGTTATTTCAGAATGTCTTTTCTTCTTCACAAACTTAAGCTACTGTTTTTCTCCATCTTATACAGAGTTCATCCAAATTGATACTCATAGTTTATAGGAAGAAATCATCTTCAATCACCAATGATATAACTGCAATCAGTTTCTTGTTTATTTTTTTTAATGTTTTCTCTCACTGCTTCTTGGGGATCCTCAATGCTCTTCAAGCTTCCTGAAGCCAAGAAAACTTTACAGAATATCCTTGCAGGGTTTCCAGTATCACCATCAAGTGAAGAGAGGTGATCCTTCCACTCTACTCAGCATCAGTGAGGCCGTACCTGTAGTACTGTTCCCACCCAGTACAAGAGAGACCTATACATAATGCAATGAGTCCAGCAGAGGGCTACCAAGATCATCAAGGGACTTGTGCACTTTCCTTTGAGGAGAGGCTGAGAACTGGGACTGTTCAGCCCGCAGAGGAGGCTCAGGGGGGATTCTCAATGCCTATAAATACCTGAACAGAAGTGCAAAGAAGACAGAACCAGTCTCTTTTCAGTAGTGTCTAGAGCCAGGACAAGAAGAAATGGGCATAAACTGGAACACGGGAGGTTCCGTCACATTATCGGGAAGCATGTCTTTACCGTGCAAGTGATAGAGCCCTGGCATAGGCTGCCCAGAGAGGTTGTGTAGTCTCCTTCCTTGCAGATCTTCAACAGCTGCCTGGTCATCGTCCTGGGTAGCCTGCTCTGGGTGCCCCTACTTGGGCATAGGAATTGGACCAGAAAGCCTCCAGAGGCCTTAAACACATTACCCATAATTACCAGTCTTAAATCCGTAATTTTAGGGAATTCTAGTAATGTACATCTACCATTTCGTGTTGCTGTCATAGAGCACAGGATTCTATTGCCTTACTTCCGTTCATTCATTGGTTGCCTCATGTATTTTAAGGAGCAGGTAGGAGTGAAGGTGTGCATCCTTTTGTGTTAAGAGGAAAGATCCTGTCACAATTGGCTTGTGGTCCATGGCAGAGACCTCTTATTTTATTTTCATGAAATGAGAGAAGTAGTAACTTGGTAGTATGCCTGGTAGTTTTCTCTTTTTCTCTTTAAGTCCTTCCACTTTTACAAAGAAAAAAAAAAAACAAAAAAACAAGACTCCAACCATTTTTGTCTGTTCTATAACTTGCTATTTTTCATATCTAGTTTTATCACTTTACCTCCTTTCCTGTTATTTTAACATTACAAAATGCATCTTTGCCTTCTCCAATATTCCTTAATTATTAATTGCATTTATAAATAAAGGATGAATTCAAACCACTGCACTTTTGAAGCTTGCAGAAAACAGAAAGAACAGATAGACCCACAGACACTTCTAAAACTAGCACAACATAAGTATAAAATAAGCTATAAAAGACAACGTTAAGTAGGAACTTACCCTGCTTGTGGGTTCACCATTCCCAGTGAGTTTTTATGCGCTGGTGATAATGTCTGAATTTTGCTCCCACTGGACCCAGATGAAGACAGTGCTTTACCTGAAGAGGCACCTTACAGTTTAAGGTAATAAGGGAAATATAAGAAAGCATAAGATTCTGTTATTGGAATGATACATTTAAAAATATATTTATTGTAAAATTCAAAACAAGAGTTTTAGAAATATTATACATTATACACATATAATACATACTTCTTGTATTAAAAAATAACAAAATACTAGCACAAAACAAGTATGTTTCCAAAAGTGTATAGCAAATATGCAATTGAGAAAAAATATTCTAATAATTGAATGTTTCTTCAGAAAGAAAAAGGAAAGAAGTCTAGAATAAGTAAATGTACATACTGAACCTTACTGTTATCAGAAAAAAGAATAAATCTGCAAAATATTTTTATAAATTTATGATTACATTCAGCGTACAAATTAGTAGAGAATACAGCAATAGAAAAATCTGATGTAAAAAGATCAGAAGTAGATACAATCATGCATTACTTCACAGAATGATTTTGCAGGTGAGCCCTACATGCTTAAGAGTCTTGTTGGATAGGGGCTAATCTGTGGCCATTCCATTTGTTTACTTATTTTGCAAACAAATGCTTGCAGTTCAACAATAAATTTGGATGGGGCTTTGGCCAACCTGGTCTAGTGGGAAGTGTCCCTGCCCATGACAGGGGAGTTGGAACTGGATGATGTTTAAGGTCCCTTCCAACCCAAAGCATTCTGTGATAGATATCATATACGTAGTTAAAAAAAAAAAAACAGGTTACGAAAAACATTGATATAAAAATGGTATCTTGAAAGACAGAAGCCATCTTATCCTGTAATGAGACACTAAGCTTCTCCTGTGAAATTTTTACTCCTTCATTTTAAATCACTGGGCAACACTGTAGAAATCCTTCCAGCTATAATACAATTTTCACAACATAGTTTGATAACTAGTATTCAGAAAATAAATGCAAAATTGCTAACATTAATTTCTTACCTACAACTGTTTTGCTAACACCACTTGGCTGTGGTAAGCGTGATGATGATGGTGTTGATCCTGCAGAAGGCGCCTTCTTAACTGCAGCAGGCTTGTACTGTAACAAAATACAGCCTAGAAATTTAAGCAATTAAATCAAACTATCTATGTAACATGATAGGTAGTTATCTCAGGCATGCTGAGAAAACAAACTATGATTACTTAGTAACTAACTTGTTTCTGGTACAGGGGTCACACAGTTTCTGCTGGTCTGGTTTATTATAAAGAAATTATACTACTAGGAAAGATTGTCAACACATACTTTAATCCTTCATTTGTTATAATCACAACTTAACCACTGCAATTCTTACCCTGATTTGCTTGAATTCTCTAAACCTCTATTTAGACAAAAATATAATTCTGTACCTTTATTTGTTTAGTTTGGAGAAGAGAAGGCTCAGGAGAGACCTTATTGCTCTCTACAAACTACCTGAAAGGAAAGTGTGGGGAGCTGGGGGTTGGCCTCTTTGCACAGGTAACTAGGGATAGGACTAGAGGGAATGGTCTCATGGTCTCAAGTTGTGCCAGGGGAGGTTCAGGTTGGAAACGAGGAGACATTTCTTCTCAGAAAGAGTAGTCAGGCACTGGGATGGGTTACTTAAGAAAGGTTGGATGTCGTACTTAGGGACATGGTTTAGTGGGTAATATTGGTGGTAGGTATACTGTTGGACCACATGATCCTGGACACCTTTTCCGACCTTAATGATTCTATGATTTTTATTTGTCCACTTCAGGAACAGTGTTGAACTGGATTCAGAAGACTTGCACAACATAAATTAAACTCTGTCAACAAAAACTACTTTTACACTTCCTGCTGCTACCCTTATCTGTCATTTTCACAATTACACTTCCTGCTGTTACCCTTATCTGTCATTTTCACAAATCTCCAAATAACATCTATGACTGTTTTAAGCTTTTCAACTGCTGCCATCTGATTTACAAATCTCCAGTTGCAACTCTCATATGAAACAAAAAACCTCTTCCATGCTTAGGTTCTAATAAAAGAATATTTTAGTATCTAAAACAATAATATTACAGAATAAAATAGTTAATTTGCAGGCAACAAACTATTAAAGAAGTTTGATTTTATATCCAATGCAAATTACAATTTAAGAAAAATGTTTTTGTTCACCTGAGTTCTAGTAGGAAGCTTCCCTTTGGTATCAGCTGCCAGTTTCCCCTTATTAGTAATACGTGCTGCTTGTTCCTTACAGAAATTGATGTGTCTGTCGGCTGCATTTTCATTAAATCTCCTTTGACAATAGGGACACTGAATGTAATCTTAAAAACATAAAAGTCTAACATTAATAATGAGTTTTAAGAAGTGTTATTTAAAAACAAACAAACAAACAATAAACAAAGTATTTTAAAGACTTTTGAAGACCAACACCAGCCCCAGAGAAAAATCAGTATCGCTTAAATCTGAAAATGAAACACAGATTACTAGGGAAAAGATTATTGTCTTCATGTAACACACCAGGCTGATGGATAAGAAGGAGAAGAGTGGTTGAGAATCAGAAACAATTTATGTGAAATCAGAAACGCATTGAGAGGTGCTGCTAAGCAGGGAAGGTGACCAAAGAGGTAGATGGACATGGCTGGGAATTCAGCTGTCAGGAAGTAGACAAGAGAAGAGGTCTAATAAAGAACACAAATACAGTTCAGTTTGTTCAAGATATGAAAGTACGTTAAAACCTTTCCCATACAGATAAGCTAAAGATAACAAGTTATCTTTCCTCTGGCAATTTTGAAAGAACTGAGTAATACCAACTGGAATACTGGAAATTAATAGAACCAGAAATATAACAAGATAACCTGAATCAAAGAAAACACAGCCAAAATTAGGAGACAGGATAATTGGTGTCTGCATTATTTTTTCCCCCGAGATAAATTTAGTCATACCATGAAGAATAATGCTTGCAGAAAATATTAACATTGGACATTGGGGGGGAAAAAAAAAAAAAGGAAATATACCCCTTAAAACATACTGCCCATCAACAGTAAAGTATTTGGGCTGCAGTTTCAGATAGATGTTTTACTGCTTAGAGATATGAATTTTGAATTAATTCCTCAGAACATGGTATTCTGAATCATAAACATCAATTTTGAAAGAGCTGAACACAAACACAGCAGTTTAAATTAGTATGTTCCCAGCTGATTTTAGAAATTTATTAAAGAAAACAAAGATTCAACAGTCATTGCCTCCAGAATGAATTAGACATTATACAATCCAAAATAAGATTGAGATTACGTGTTACTACTCCAAATACAGCTGATCTAGTTTAAATAGTTAGCCCTTACAATAAACAAAATTTCAAATAGGTCAAATGTTTAATGGCTGGCAAACTATGAATCGTGACTCAAGAAGGCCACGGGAAGAACACAGCCTTCACAGAAGCGATGGCATGGGAACCTCATACGATAACAGCAATTGTTTATTTTTACATAAACTCCACTACTGTCAGAACACTCAAACATAAACTGTACCTTAATAGATGGAAAGTCAGAAGTAAAAGAACTAATAACCATGATCAAACTATGACAGGCCCAGACAGAAAATAAAAAAATAATAGTAATATTAATAAGAAGAAATCCATGAAGCAAGCAACTATGGAAGCCCCTAGATCATAAAAAAGGCCATTTGTAACTAAGGCAGGGCTGAATTCCCACAGAAGACCTCCAAAGCCCACTAAAGTAAATAGATCAGACAATAAAGGATTAACATGTACTCTTAAGTATGAGGGATTTTATGTTCATCCTCTGTAAAATGCTTAGCACCAGACAGCTGCCTGGCTATTACAGTTGCAGTATGGTTGAGAATGGAAGTGATATCTGGAGATATCTGGTCCAACCCCCCTGTTCAAGCATGGACACCTGGAGCAGTTTGCCTGGAGCCAGACAATACAGTCAGTACAGAAGAACTGTTAAGATTCAATATAAGCATTATACAAATTAATCAAATTAAAACCAGGCAGTATACATATACAGCCAAGTTCAATGTAAATAGGGCTGACTTAAGAACCTTTTCAACACCTTCAGGCTATTCTGCATTATTTTTAAAGAAAATCCAACCCGGTGGCCTTCTCTGACAGAGTGACTACATCAGTCAACATGGGAAGACCAACTGAATTATTGTATGATTATCCCTAAGCAGATGCTGTCTTGTGACTGGCTAGCATCCTTTGTAGTCTTCAATACATTGCAATGAAATACAATAATCTTTATGAACTCACTAATACTGTGTTCCAAAAAAAATTCCATTTCAATTCAAATTTTTACAAATTGTTTAAATTACAAAAAAGTCTTTAAGAAACTCAATTGTTTTACATACCAGGGTCATATGATGGCGGAGGTGGTGGAGGGAGTTTTCCACCATCTTTAAGGTTAAGTCCTTTGGCTGCTCGTATAGTTGCTATGAACTCCTCATGCTTTCGTCTCCAATTGGATGGTTTTTTGGGTGGTTCTGGCTAAGAAGTCAAAAAAGAAAGAACTTCATATGTTTGAAGTTCTTACTGTATACATCCTTTATTTTAATACACAATATTATGGTTAAATTTCTTCCAGATCCTACTTGATTTATCATAAATTGCCAGCAGAAACAAACCTTGTTATAAAGCATACATATTTTGCCTAAAATGTTCACATGCAGAGTAAACCACCAGAGTAGTTTACATATAGAGTGTAACATACCCGTGGCTTAAGAGGTTTTACTGTGGGAATGTCAGTTCCTTCTGCTCTCTGTCGGCTGGAATCAAATGTCTTCCTTTTCTTTGCAGAAGTTTTTTGGCAAATTGGTCCATGCTTTTTCTATAAGCAGAAGAAATAAAGGAAAATGCAGAATTTTCTCCTGATGAGTCCAATCAGACTGCTTTCACTCAAATACTTATGCCAACCATAACTTTTTGAACAGAACTACAGGAATTCACAAATGCATATACATGATCACAAAAACTCAGGAACCGAGGAAGAAAAAAAGGGAGGCACCTGTAAATGTTCCTTGCAAATAAAAAACTGATGGTAGGTAGGCAGCATTTGCATTTTAGGGGCAAAACAGATCAGAGTGTCTGAAATTCATATTAACATTAAGGACAATGCATCTTCTATTGAGACTGAAGAGGAGGGCATTCTGAAGACAACTAGCAGAACACTTCAATTACTAGATAAGATAACATGATGCTCAGGCTTACATTTGCAGAGACAAGGAATAATTCTGTGGGGCTAGAGCAGACGCTTTTATAAGGACCCTAATTTTCAGAATGATGGGATGCTGAAATAAAATTCACCTTCTTTTAAGGAACTTAAAAACCAAGACAGCTGGAATTCTTAAGTATTTGAAAAAATAAACATCTAGATTTTCTTTATTTAGCTATACTAACCATTGCTTAACTCTTGTTAACTTATCAGACCTGGAAGCCAACAGTACTCATGCTACTTACCAGTGCTGCTGGAAAGAAAGTCCTTCCACAAATCCTACATGGCAACAGATCTCCAGTCTGCACTGTAACCTCACCTTTAAAAAAAAAAAAAAGGAGAAAAAAAATGTAAAAAGCATACTTCTACAAGAATGTTTAAATTTGCAGTAAAAAAAAAAAATCTTCCTAGATTGCTAACCTCAGCTGTTACTGTAAAAGTACACATTCTTTGAACCATGCAAAGGCTGTGCAGATCAGAAAAGGAAAGCTAATATGCAAGTCCTTACATACTTTTCAAAGCAGTCAGGCCCAGTAACAAGTTGGCATGAATTCTGATGATTTACAACATGACACTCTGCACTTTTAAAGAGATGCCTGCATATCAGCATGCATATGACTGATTCACTGTGTGTCATATCGACAGCTCAAACAGACATGGAGAGCAATGATACTGGATATTTCTGGGTCTTTGAAAGAGAATCACCTGTTACAGCATCAAATGGAAGCCACATCCCATCACTTATTTCTATTAAATTAAACTATTCCACTTGCTCTTCAAAAGAAAAATTCTTGAAGGCTCTTTTTACAATCCACTTTATATGGGTTATTACTGATGGTTTACATAAGCATTTCAGAAGTGGCAATTCAAGCACTGGTACAAAAATGTAAACATTATACTTGACATACAACTGGTTTATAGAAATAGATAAAAGACTAACAAGCCAAAGTATCCGAGTCTAGGCAAGCAGGTATATTCATATAGTATGCATTAAGCAATGGAATTGTGTAAGAGATGAAAACTGCATAGTTTCCAAATGACAGGTATCTACTATATTTAGTACTGTACAAGAGCTGTAGAAATATTTTTATACCATGTGTATACATCTATCAAGAGGCAGTAAATTTGGATCAAGTTTAAGACTGGTTAGACTGAGTACAGAGGAAGAAACTGACATTTGCAGATGATACAGCTCCCTCTATTTATCCTGGAAAAATAGAAGCACTTTCAATTAAAATAGAAGCACTTTCTATTGACTTGTACTTCAGGCAAACTAATGGTTGAAACTATAAAAGTTAAGAACATAGGGAAGTTCAAAGGTTTCATCATTTTTTGTTACCAATTCCTCAGTGGAAAACCATTTTCCAGCTAAACATACATACTTGTCAATTAACTGTAGAACCAATCCTAAAAAACAAACAAACAAAAAAAAAAAAACTAACAAAATGTTTCAAGGCAAGCAAATACAGATTCAGGCAGCCATGGTTCCCCAGAAATACATTTTTTTCCCCAAATTTTAAGGCTAAAATTGAATAAGATTTCTGGTACCAATACATAACTATTAAATCTATTCCTGTCTTTTTCAATTACTCAAATGAAATACATTATCAGTATGTAAACATGCATGATGTATCAGTATAGTACAACAAGTTTTAAGAACTACAAATCATAAAAAATGTGTTCTGCAGTTTAACACATTTCTGTTCATACCATATTTTCATTATTTATACACTTCCTCCATGTAGACATGAATAGGCTCCTATCACACCGTAGAGGGACTGCACTGACAGCAATTTTGAGTCCTAAAGCTAAAGTCATAATTAAACTTCCTTTTCTGTCATCTAAATGCAAGCATATTTACATGCACACAAGTAAGGGGAAACTAGGAAAGAGAAATTGCAGATAAATCTTTATTTCCTTCTGTTCTTGCATCTGACTTATATTTTCATGTTAGCAACACTTAATGGGAACTTCTTTTTTCCCCTCTCTATTTTAAATAATCATGTCTGAATTTTTTTCCAAAGGCCTCTTTCTTTAAAAATCTCAAACACGAGCACATTAGTCACAAGTAGCAACATGCAAGCTGCTCGTACATAGTTCACATGGCTGGAACCTGCCCTCATCATTTTTTTTTTTCAAGAGTGAAGTTGGAATGGCATAGGCTTTCCTCAATTCTCCCAATCAAAAAAATACAAGGTATGTACTCTTAATAATGCTAGCAGACATCACTGCAAAGTCTTCTTAAAAAGAAGAAAAAACACAACAATTTTCTATTATCACATTATTCTAATTTAATTCTCAGCTTTGCAGAAATTACCAACAAGTAAGAGATGTATTTCAGGGAAATACAAAGTGATGCCACTTGTGACTTTAATAAAGTAGCTGAAATCACAAATAGTGATCTTAAAATCAGGTCCATAATACAAGATTGACAATTTGAAAGAATTATTTCAAAAATCTGCCTTAGTAAATGGGGTGGAAATCCATTCTTCATTCTTCTATTCACTCAACTCTGGAATTCAAGTTTGCATTTAAATTCCCCATGGGAAAAAAAAAAAAAAAGGTAAAAAAAGAAGTAAAAAAAAGTAGTGCTCTAGGTGATCCTGCTTGGCAGGGGAGTTGGACAAGATGATCTTCAGAGGTCCCTTCCAACCTCAGCCATTCTGTGACTTGATAGACGCTCAGTGCTCTAGCAGTATTTACACACGACATACCAACACGTAGTAAGGAAAGCAAGTTAGCACTCCCTGCAGCTACAGTTACAGAGCTGTACTTCCCTGAAGCATTCCATGCTGCCAGGCAAAGCTATGTTTTCCAGGAGCTGTTGCTACTGCCACCCCTTTCCGCCCCATAATACAGATCACTGACCCAAAACCAAAAGGAAGTTACTTTAAAAAAAGTTGAAGCTGTACTGAAAATGGGAAGCCCACAGTTGTTTAGATCTGCACACTCATCCCTTCATTCCTTTCTTATTTTCATCTTATTTAAAGTAAAAAAAAATTAAAAAAATCCATAAAATCTTAACATTTCTCTCCTGGGCTCCAAGTCTTCCCTTACAAAGAGGTGAGCTACAACAAGAAACATGGTAATTTTAAAACAAAACATGGGATTGAAATTGTTAAAGTTGGAAAAGAGTTGGTGGAAAGCTTTTTTTTTTTTTGAAGACATTCATGTTAGATACCTAATGCAGTCAGTCTGTATACTTGTTACACAGAAGCTATGTAAGTAACAAGTGACACAAATGAACAAAATAAAGGAGAGAAAAACGCTTACACATTTTTTCAGTAATGTTAAAAGTTACTATTTCATACACTAGCAATAAAGAGGATAACCTGGCACTTCGGGACATGGTTTAGTGGGTGATATTGGTAGTATGGCAATGGTTAGACCAGATAATCTTGAAGGTCTCTTCCAACCTTAATGATTCTACGATGATTCAAAACAGTAGTGTGTAAGCAATTATGGATGGCCAATTTCTTATCCTAGGACTGAGTTTCTGTATCCGAGTAATTTTCTGTTATTACAAGTAGCACTGTGTGGTAGGTACCACCCTATTCATTATTATTATTTCAACTGCAAAACAGCCATTTTGGTACATGGTTAACTTCTGTGTGCACCTACCTGCTTACACCAGAAGGCACATGGAAATTAGGTCTGAAGATGCATCTTGCTTCTGTTCTTTTCCGTAAATAATAGAATGAAATTACCTCAAAACCAGTGCTAAAAACAAACCCAGAAAACAAGATGGGAGGTGGAGGGCAGTCCCTGTCGCCAAGGGGCAGCCTTTCTCTTCCCCCCTGTAGTCAGCTCTGGTGAGACCACACCTCGAGTGCTGTGTTCAGTTTTGGGCCCCTCACTGCAAGAAGGACATCAAGGCCCTGGAGTGTGTCCAGAGAAGGGCTAGCTACAAAGCTGGTGAAGGGCCTGGAACACAAGTCCTGTGAGGGGCCGCTAAGGGAGCTGGAGTTTTCTAGTCTGGAGGCTCAGGGGAGACCTTATTGCTCTCTCCACAAATACCTGACAAAAAGGTGTGTGGAGCTGGGGGTCGGCCTCTTTGCACAGGTAACTAGGAATAGGACTAGAGGGAATGGCCTCAAGTTGCACCAGGGGAGGTTCAGATTGGAAATGAGGAGACATTTCTGCTCAGAAAGAGCAGTCAGGCACTGGGATGGGTTGCCTAGGGAGGTGGTGGCATCACCATCTCTGGGGGCGTTCAAGGAGAGGTTGGACGTGGTGCTTGGGGACATGGCTTAGTGGTGACATTGGTGGTAAGGGATGGTTGTCCAGATGATCTTGAAGGTCTTTTCCAACATTGATTCTATGATCTTTTTCATTGAAATTAATTATTTTTGGCCATAGTTTTCCAGCACAACTATGATAAAAAAAAAAATAGCAGTAAGAACATAAAAATCTTATCCTGAGTGTTTTTAGCCTGATAAAATGAAAAAGGAATAAACAAAGGCAAAAAATTTATAGCTGAAAACTTTGGGATTCCTAGGAGAAAAAAATGAACTGATTTCTTTCTTTTATCTCCCTAATCAACAGTTAGAAGAAACAGGTTGTATTGAGATCACAAATAACTTCAGGAAAGTATTCTCTGAAGTGGCAACTGAAAATTTAGCAGTGGATGGTTGAATTTAGAAGTCTTAGAGAACTCTTTTCCTGATATGCCACTCCTCAGTACATATAAGCCTCCCAAATGATAGTAAATAAGGATAAATCATACAAGCAACAAATTTGCTAAGGAGCACTACTCTTCTAGTACTTCATACTTCCTCTGGGTTGTATGAGGAATGCAACCCTGAAGATGAATCAGGAATTCACTAGCCAGCTTCATAGCTGTGCATTGGAAACCCCTCCTGCCATGGCTACTTTCTAATGCAGAGATTGCCCTTATTTTGGTTACACAACCACAGAAGACCCAAGACCCAGCAGCTACATTTCCCTTTCCTTTCCCCATTTGTAATATCACTTATCATGAGCAGTTTACATGCTGGTGTTAAACATGAATAAATTCAGGTAACTTAGAGAAGGACACAATTATTACCGTTTAGATAAACACACTTCAGGAGAAGAGAATTAGGTTCAGAATGGTTATGTCTATACCAACTCAAGAAGTATTTTTGTTGAAGTGATGCCAGCACTATGATACACAGCTTTATACCCTACTCTCCTACTGCCTGCCTGAAACCAGCTCTTAAAAAGAGCGTTCAACTTACTAAGGTGTTGGTTGTCCAAATTAAACAAATTGACTGGGAGTTTTATTACCAACACTCTTTACTTAATTCTCAGACTCTTACCACCTGTATTTCTGAACTC